ACTTAGATTGACTATCTGCTTGATTGTGGTCTAATACACACTCAAGCAGATAGTCAATCTAAGTTGGATGCGCCAAAAGATACATCACGGTGTCAGCGCATACGTGGTTTCAAGGTGGAGGGGCGTATCAGGGTTGGTTAATTTATCTGTTACCAATAAGAAACTGTCAGATAATTGTATTCAAATGGACGCATGAAAAACCTTCCTCCAAATAGACGCAAAACTATCAAACGATACAGAGGAAATGAACTATCGGAGTACTCAAATAATTAAACGACGATTATAAGTACGATTAACATTATCATCATCATCATCATCATCATCATCATCATCATCATCATCATCATCATCATCATCGATCATCATCATCATCATCATCATCCGAAACATCATCATCACAATCATCATCATCAACGAATCATCATCATCATCCGAATCATCATCATCCGAATCATCATCATCCTCATCATCATCATCATCATCATCATCATCATCATCATCATCATCATCAATCCGAATCATCATCATCATCATCATCATCATCATCATCATCATCATCATCATCATCATGATCAGTTCATCATCAACATCATCATCATCATCATCATCATCATCATCATCATCATGATCATGATCATCATCATCATGCGCATCCGAAACGTCATTAGGATCATCATCATCGTCATCATCATAAGCATCATCATCATCTTAACATCATCATCATCATCATCATCATCATCATCATCATGATCATCATCATCATCATCATCATACATCAACATCATCATCATCATCATCATCGTTATCATCCGAATCATCATCATCATCATCATCAATCATCATCATCATCATCATGATCATCATCATCATCATCCTCATCATCATCATCATCATCATCATCATCATCCGAATCAGCATCATCCGCATCATCATGCGAATCATCATCATCATCATCATCATCATCATCATCATCATCATCATCATCATCATGATCATGATCATCATCATCATCATCATCATCATCATCATCATCATCATCATCATCTTCATCATCATCATCCGAATCATGATCATCATCATCATCATCATCATCATCATCATCATCATCATCATCATCATCATCATGATCATCATCATCATCATCATCATCATCATCATCATCATCATCATCATCATCATCATCAGATTCATCATCATCATCATCATCATCATCATCATCATCATCATCATCATCATCATCATCCTCGAATCATCATCATAATCATCATCATCATCATCATCATCCGATTCAACATCATCATCATCAAATTATCATCATCATCATCATCATCCGAATCATCATGATCATCATGATCATCATCATCATCCGAATCATCAGCATCATCATCATCATCAACATTATCATCAACATCATCATCATCATCATCATGAATCATCATCATCATCATCATCATCATCATCATCATCATCATAATCATCAACATCATCAGTCATCATCATCACCGTTATCAACATCATCATCATCATCATCATCATCATCATCATCATCATCATCATCATCATCATCAGCATCAATTATCATCATCATCATCATCATCCGAATCATCATGATCATCATGATCATCATCATCATCACATCATCATCATCATCATCATCATCATCATCATCATCATCATCACATCATCATCAACATCATCATCATCATCATCATCATCATCATCATCATCATCATCATCATCATAATCATCAACATCATCAACATCATCATCATCATCATCTTCATCATCATCACGATCATCATCATCATCATCATCATCATATCATCATCATCATCATCATCATCATCATCATCCATTATGATCATCATCATCATCATCATCATCCGAATCATCGTCATCATCATCATCATCATCATCTTCTACATCATCATCATCATCATCATCATCATCATCACGATCATCGTCATCAACATGATCATCATACATCATCATCATAATCATCCGAATCATCATCATCATCATCATCATCATCATCATCATCCGAATCATCATCATCAACAACATCATCATCATCATCATCATCATCATCATAAGAATCATCATCATCATCATAACGAATCATCATCATCATCCGAATCATCATCATCCGAATCATCATCATCCTCATCATCATCATCATCATCATCATCATCATCATCATCATCAATATCCGAATCATAATCATCATCACCATTATCATATATCCGATTCATCATCATCATCATCTTCATCCGAATACATCATCAAAGTCTTCATCATCATCATCATCATCCGAATCATCATCAACATCATCATCATCATCATCATCATCATCATCATCATCATCATCATCATCATTCATAATCATCAACATCATCAACATCATCATCATCATCATCTTCATCATCATCACGATCATCATCATCATCATCATCATCATCATCATCATCATCATCATCATCAAGAATCACCATCATCATCA